GTGGTCTCTACACCTCCTGTGGTCCCAGTGGTCTCTGTCTCCTATGGCACCAGTGGACTCTTTGTCTCCTGTGGCACGAGTGGTCTCTTCACCTTGCCTCGGTTCATCGTCTTGTCCAGGCGCATTGCCTTGGTCCTTCGCATTGCCTTGTCTAGGCACATCGCCTTGGCCCTTTGCATTGCCTTGGTCCCACACCTCGCCTTGGTCCTTCGCATCACCTCATCCAGGCACCTCGCCTTGGCCCCTTGCCTTGGCCCTACGCCTCGCCTTGGCCCCATGCCTCGCCTTGGCCCCTCGCCTCGCCTGGGCCCTTTGCCTCATCTTTGCCCTTCGCTTGAACTGCTCCAGCAAGCTGAACGGTCTTCCAGCCGCCCGCCTGGACTTTTAGTGTTTTCTTTTGTGTTTAACTAGTCCCCCTCTTGTGTTCCGTTGTGCCCTCCATCCTCTTTCCCCCCTCCTCCCTCCCAAGTTTTTGGGGAGTGGGTTTCTGGAGGACGTCTGAAGATGTCCTTTAAGAGGGAGGTACTGTAGGGATTGGTATGTTTCATGGGTTTAGCCCCATATTGTTTTGTGTTTTTTGTCTTATGTCCTTCTCAGTTTCTGTTTTCTATAGGGTTTGTGTTTTTCTAGTGTATGCTTCCATTTAGTGTTGTGTGTCTGTTCCTGCACTTCCTGGTTTCCTGATTTGTCATTTTCCCTGATGTGGTTCAGCTGTGTGTCCTCACAGGTGTTTTGTCTCGTTTGTCACTGTATATAAATCTGTGTCTCTGTGTTAGTCCTTCGTCCTGGCATTGCTTCCTGTCACCCTGGTCCTCTGTGTTTCCTACAGATTATGTAAGTATGCTGCCCCGTCAGCTGTTGTTTTGTTATTATTAATAAATTATTTTATTCATCTCCTGAGTCCTGGATTGTCTGCCTGCACCCCTGGGTTTACCTTCTCCAACCAGCATTATGACACAAATATATGCATGCATGTCCAAAAATGCAACTTGAGGTAAGTTTTATTAATGTTGGATACATT